GTAAATGCATACACGAAATTTGATGCCTGTTCTGCCAGATGTCAGACTAAAGAGACTTGTGTAGTTGATCCCGAGATGTTTCTGGGCAGGGAGATGGTGAGGTTTGAGGAGGAGGAGGAGAGGAGGGTGCCTGTCGGTGTGGCTGCAGAGTGGCAGGTCTCTGCCCCACCTCATGTGACATTGCTGGACCTCCACTGGGTGACCCCTCCACTCTCTGCTGCTCTAGGAGTGGCCGCTGGCTCCTCTAGAGTGTGGTATTTCACCTCTGCCCTCTCTGTGGGCTCTGCAGTACGTGGTAGAGACGGGAGTTTCTGAGTGATCCCTGGCTGATTGGTCTGAGACGAGGCTGGAGGGCCACAGTGTCATATACTGGAGGAGGACAGTGGAGCTGCCGGTTGAGTGACTACTGAGAGGTGGAGATGGTTTGCTGGGGAGAGAGAGTGATTGAGAGTGTGGTACTCCTGGCTGTCTTCCCTCTGGATTGAGGTGGTGTGGCTCTGTCGTAGAGACCTCTGTCTCTGGCACCTCCTGGAAGGTCTGGTTCCTCGCGGCTGTGGTGACTGGGACTTCATACGGCTCATTCTGGGGCCTCACTTTCTCGCTCCTGTGGCAGGCGAGGTAGAGGACCACCCCAGCTATTGATACTAGCAGAAGAGCCACCACAGTCCCCACTGCAGCCGCCAGATAGATGAGGGCTTGTGGTGCAGTGGTAGTATTGTCAGTGGTACCAGTGTCAGTGGATGGAGAGTCAGTGTCTGGAGTGGAGGCAGGACCAGTTGTTAGGATGGGCTGCTGTAGTTCTGTGGTAGAGACTGCAGTGGTTGATGACTCCATCAAGGAGACTGGGGAGGTGGTGCTGACTGAAGAGGTGGATGGTGTTACAAGGAGAGAGGGAGACAGTTGACTAGTTGTGACTTGCGAGCTGTTCCAACAGCTGGTAACTAGTGGAGCATCACAACTGTCACCATGATCTACAGTAGTGCAGTCTCTCAGTCTCTCCTCACTCCCCATACACTGAGGAATGTAAGACAGTTTCTTGTCTTCCACTGTCGTCTGGATATCATAAGCTCCAGATTCACCTATAGAGGAGAGCCATGATATGAATATTACATTCCTAGCTGTAGCTATATATCACTTATACCTGGAGCAGGATATCCCAGTTCCCTGCAGGCAACTGCAGTGTTCTCCATCGTCCATTGCTCAACTCCCTCGTTGCATAACACGACCTTCTTCCAGAGCTCATTCTCGCAGATCTCGAAAGTTCCGTGCACGTCCCCTAACACACCGTAAAGTGCAGCGGAGATCGCATTGTTGTCCCCAAAACGGGTCAATAGCCGTACGTCTCTGTCACTGCACTCTGTAGAAGGCGCACGACACTAGCTCGACAACTACTGTGGCAGTTGCAAGATCTCACCAGGAGAGGGATCCTCAGGACCAGCTCCTCGGACTAGTAGAACGCGGAGTAATGCCGCCAGTAGTAGAGACCACACATGAGACCTCATCCTTCTGCTCCGCCACCACTATCGAAAGTACTATATATATACTGCAAATGCATGCGCATCGCCGCAAATGCATGCGCAACCAAAACGCGCATGCGTACAAAACGCGTCTTTAGAGGGCTGAAACATCTTCGTAGACATGTGTCACGTTGAGTCCAGCATATGAAGGGTTAGAGGAGGAGGGAATGATCTGGGCTTGCTGCGAGCTGACAAAAAATGTTTAGTGAGCGATGTCTTGTGCGAGGTATAGTACGGTTTGTTGTGCACTTACTGCATATGGCTTTGCGTTGATAAAAACTGTGTGAAGCTGGCACTGAGTGGGTTTTCCGGTTACCCGTGGCGCGGTTGCAACAAAGACGGTCTGCGCAGTTGTAAACAATTTTGGCAGCTGGCTGCGCGAAGCTGCCATGGTGATGTATAGTTTGTGTTCATGTTCTTTGCAACCATTGAGCGCTGTGTGTAACGTCAGGATTGGTAGAAAACCCCATAGCAACGAGTCCACAAAAACTACACGTATACGTTGCTATGTCCCGCGATCTGGCCGGCCAGCACGCGATAACGTCGCGTCCGCGCGGGATCGATCCGCAACAAAACGCGCATGCGCACAAAATGGCTTTAGAGGGCGGAAACATCTTCGTAGACGTGTGTATTAGCAGTCACGTTGGGTTCAGCATATGAAGGGTTGGAGAAGGAGGGAATGAGGGAGGCAGAGGTCAGGTAGGCTGGGTTCTTCATAATTTCATCTCCTTCACCTGCACCAGGTTGGGTATATATGTACCACTGAATAACCACATAATACAAGTAGTATATATGTTGCTACTTCACTCTCCAACATGTATGTGCAATGGTCCATTCACACGGAAATGCAAATGCTCTACTATTCCATGCAGCGAAAAACAAGTTCTCCTGAGTAGATATGTTGTTTGAAAACCTCACCTGAAAGTTTTTCATTTGACTGGATGTTTCTCTTTCTAAGAATCAGACAGCAGAGAGCCAGAGATCCTGTTATCCCAGCTCCCACTACTGCTCCTACCAGTACACCATACACAAACATCAGCCAACATCTCTCACCACTGGTACTGGCTCCAGTGGGTGGTGTGGGGAGAGGACAGTAGTTCTGATGGTGGCTTAGTCTCCAGAACATAGTACATTATAGAGGAGGATTGTTTGACTGAATAATACGGAGTTAATGTTTGTGTAGAAGCAGGGGATACCAGTAGTTTTACTGAAGATACTAGTGTGCTAGTCATCAATATTATGACAGAAGTATCTGATGAGCTGTTCCAACAGCTGATAAGTAGTGGAGCATCACAGTTACCAGCATGATTTAGAGTAGAACAGTCCTCCAGTCTCTCCTCGCTCCCCATACATTGAGGAATGTATGGGAGTCTCCTACTTGACTCTGTGCTTTGAATGTCATAACCTCCAGACTCGCCTAAGAAAGCCATAATAGATTGTTGATTTCCTAGTGACCACTAGAGACTATACCTGGAGCAGGATATCCCAGTTCCCGGCAGGCTACTGCAGTATTCTCCGTCGTCCAGAGCTCTTCTCCGTTTCCGTTCAAGCACAGCACGACCTTCTTCCAGATCTCATTCTCGCAGATCTCAAGAGATCCGTGCACGTCTCCAAGTACACCGTCAAGTGCAGCGGAGATCGCATTGTTGTCCGCAGCGGTCAATAGCCGTACGTCTTCGTCACCGCACTCTGCAGAAGTCCCACGATATTAGCTAGCAGTTGCGAGATCTCACCAGGAGATGGATCCTCAGGACCAGCTCCTCGGACTAGTAGAACGCGGAGTAATGCCGCCAGTAGAGACCACACATGAGACCTCATCCTTCTGCTCCGCCACCACTATCTACGCAGTAGTGCTGAACTAGAGTAGAGTCTGAATACAAGCGCATTGCCGCAACAAACGCGCATGCGTACAAAACGCCTCTTTTAGAGGGCTGAAACATCTTCGTAGACTTGTGCATTAGCAGTCACGTTGAGTCCAGCATATGAAGGGTTGGAGGAGGAGGGAATGAGGGAGGCAGAGGTCTGGTAGGCTGGCATTTAATCTCCTTCACCTGGTAGGCTGGGTTGCTCTCCATTTCATCGCCTTCACCTATATAATCTTTACCTGTGAAAGAGGTTGGTAGACGGTATTGCTTACCTCGCCTCACCATGTGTGGCTGAATCAAGATTTGGAGCATTGTGTGAATTACATTGATCCTTAAAATCTTAATCGAACGGTTTTTCCTGAAACGACTGCGTTCGAGAGCGACAAACTGGCACCGTCGCGGACCGTGTTCCGTGGCCCAACCCATCAATAAGCGGTGCGCATGGTATATTAAACGCGATCAACGCGGCTCACCCCGACTGATCCGCTTGCTCTGTGTACCTTGGAGGCACAAGAAACCACAGCGAAGGGCGTGTATCGACTCCTGCATGCTATCTACTACCGTAGCTAGCCTTTGTCAGACTCTCCGCGAGCTACTAACGGGAGACTGCGGGTCCGTACATTAGCGGTACCGCGCATGCGCAGTTCGCCGAGAGTTTGCACTTCAGTGCTTTTCATTGTCCCGTAAGTGTGTCTGTCTGTCAGTCTGTCAGTCTGTCTGTCTGTCTGTTACCACGTTTTCTGCCACCGCGCGCACGAAATCAGGTAAATAACGATATGATCGGGTTCAGTGCTACACTGGGTTGATTTTAAAAAAGGCGATTTTCGTAAAACTACTGTGTTTTAAAGTTATGACGTGAAAACCAAGTGAACAAGCCAATATGTAAATTAGCACAGGCTTACCTCGACCGCGTCCGTTCGCTCTGTGTGTCTTGAAGGCACAACGAGTCACAACGAAGGGCATGTATCGACTCACGCATGCTATTTACTACTGTAGCTAGCCCGTGCCAGACTCTCCGCGAGCTACTAGCGGGATACCACGAGTAAAGGCATAAAAAACCCAGCCCATCAATTAGTGGTACCGCACATGCGCAGTTCGCCGAGGGTTTGCACTTTAATTTCAGCAGTATAGGGTTGCAGAGCAGAAGGATGAGGTCTCACGTGTGGTCTCTACTGGCGGCATTACTCCGTGTTCTACTAGTCCGAGGAGCTAGTCCCGAGGATCCATCTCCTGGTGAGATCTCGCAACAGCCATAGTTACGGTCTAAAACGTCGTGCGTCGTCTGCAGAGTGCAGCGACGAAGACTTACGGCTATTGACCAGTTTTGAGGACAACGATGATATCTCCGCTGCACTGGACGGTGTGCTGGGAGACGTGCGCGGAATTCTCGAGATCTGCGAGAATGAGCTCTGGAAGAGCGGCGTGTTGTGCCTGAATGAGGGAGACTTAGAAGGAGAACAGTGGACGACGGAGAACACTGCAGTTGCCTGCAGAGAACTGGGATATCCTGCTCCAGGTAGTCTCTCTGGTAGTGGTAGCTAGGAATGTAGTATTCATATCGTGGCTCTCCTGTATAGGTGATTCTGGAGCTTATGATATCCAGCCGATAGAGGATAACAAGAGACTATCATACATTCCTCAATGTATGGGGAGTGAGGAGAGACTGAGAGACTGCACTACTGTAGATAAAGATGACAGTTGTGATGCTCCACTAGTTATCAGCTGTTGGAACAGCTCGCAAGCCACAACTAGTCAACTGTCTCCCTCTCTCCCTGTAACCTATTCAGCCAGCAAACCAGCAGCCACCTCCCCAGTCTCCTTGTTACAGTCATCATCTAATGCAGTCTCTACCACAGAACTACAGCAGCCCAGTCTGACAACTGGTCCTGCCTCCACTCCAGACACTGACTCTCCATCCACTGACACTGGTACCACTGACAATGGTACCACTGCACCACGGGCCCTCGTCTATCTGGCGACTGCAGTGGGGACTGTGGTGGCTCTTCTGCTAGTATCAATAGCTGGAGTTCTCCTCTACCTCGCCTGCCACAGGAGGGAGAAAGTGAGGCCCCAGAATGAGCCGTATGAGGTCCCAGTCACCACAGCCGCGAGGAACCAGACCTTCCAGGAGGTGCCAGAGACAGAGGTTCTCTACGACAGAGCCACCACTTCAATCCAGAGGGAAGACAGCCAGGAGTACCACACTCTCAATCACTCTCTCTCCCCCAGCAAACCATCTCCACCTCTCAGTAGTCATTCAACCGGCAGCTCCACTGGTCCTCCTCCAGTATATGACACCGTGGCCCCTCCAGGCTCGTCTCAGGCCAATCCAGCCAGGGATCCCCCCACTCAGAAACCTCCGGTCTACTACCACGTACTGCAGAGCCCCACAGAGAGGGCAGAGGAGGTGAAATATCACACTCTAGAGGAGCCAGCGGGCCACGTCCTAGAGCAGCAGGAGAGTGGAGGGGTCAACCCCAGTGGAGGTCCAGCAATGTACAGTGAGGTGGGGCAGAGACGAGCTGCCACTCTGCAGCCACACCGACAGGCACCCTCCTCCTCCTCCTCCTCAAACCTCACCATCTCCCTGCCCAGAAACATCTCGGGATCAACTACACTGCTGTAGGCCCCACTACACATTAGGACTCATCTGACATCTGGCAGAACAGGCATCAAATTTCGTGTATGCATTTACGTTGGCCATGTGTACCTGTGCATTAGTGTGTGTATGTAGTGCACTAATGTAGATGTGTGTGTGTGTGTGTGTGGCAATCAAGGGCTGTGTGCTGCATTTCTCAGATTTCATGGATCATCCCCCTTCACTGTTGTACTCCGAACTGAGTAAATGAAAAGCCACTCAGAGTAACGAAAAAGGAAACATGTAATTGTCGAAAGAATGTCACCACGTCCAATGAAGTGTGTCTGGCGGTACCATAATAGTATTAGAGACCATCATGACGTTCAGCGTAATGGGGACACTAACTCTGTTACGGATAAAACAGCTCTGTCAGTATTGGTGACACATAGACCAGTATATACAATATAGTATAATAGAATGTAGCTATAATTATGCAACTGTTAGTAATGTGGAGAAACCAGTTCACCAAAATAAGCAGTCACAGTTTTAAGTCTGGAGTTGAGAAAGTGCTGCTCCACTTCAACATGTTCGTCTAGTCCGGCCAGATTTACAACCTGCACAGTCCATGATTGTCAGTAAACATCATCTCACTTTCAATACCCATTCTCTGACATCGCAGCCAGCATACATGGGGGACCAGCCGTAATAATAGATTGCACATTTGGCCAAAAACGTCAACCGTTTAAACCGTCTTAAGGTAAACACCTCTGAAAAAACAGTTTCGACACACACACGCACACACGCACACACAGCTAGCATGCAGGGTTTGCTCAGTGCACTGCTTGGGCCAGCCAGCACCCTGAAACAGCTGACCTGGTCTAGGTTGGTGTTCCGTGGCAGGTAGAACGCTATGTTCTTGCAGACATCACGAGCCACTCGGTACACCAACTCAGTGGGGAAAGGGTTTTAATTAAGGAATCTGTCTGAAGTTCAACATTATTCCCAACATCTTATGGTGTCAATACAGCACAGGGATATAGAGAATTGTTTACCAGTTACCATGGGATTAGAGATAAAACATTCCCAAAGAAACTAGGCAAGGTTGTGGGGATGGTTCTGAAAAAAAACTTTTTATTGAGGAGAAGACTTATGGCTCTGAGGTAGAGGCTGGCTATCAAAACAACAACTGATATGCTAATTGAAGCCACTTGGCTTCCAGACCACAACATCTTGGAGCTATCATAACATTGGTCAGTGTGTGTGGGTGAGGGGAAGAAAAGAAAGAGAGGACAGAGGAGGATATCCATTCAGAGGAGACATGGAGTGAAGGTCAAAGACGGATGAGGAAGAGTAGGCGGGGCCACCCCACGGAGGACTCAGGAATACCACATCCACTGCCTGAGAGGTGAGGGGAGGGAGGGAAGGAGAGGAGAGGTGTGCAGTCAGGTGATGGTGCATTGAGTAGGGTACACTGAATCAGTCACTATAAATAACAAGACAGTTTCCGTTTGAAAACAGGAGGGTCATTCCAAAAACTATCATTGAATGTACCAACCCCCCCAAAAACACCCCACTTGAAGTTGTGTAAAACAGACCAAGCACAATAGCAATAGTAAAGAGTCTGACAAAGCAACAGCTGGTTCTCACTAGTGGTGGCTACTATTATAGAGACCTTGAGGTGTGGTACTAATACGAGGTAGTCTCCCACCAGGAACTCTATGCGGTCGGCCACTCCGTACAACTCGGCATTTCTACGTGCACAGGCAATCTTGACTGGGTCTATGTCGATGGCAATGAGGAAGAGAGGGAGGGAGAGGACTCCTCTCCCTCCCTCTCTCCTCTCCCTCCCTCTGAGGAGAGAGGGAGGGAGAGGAGAGAGGGAGGGAGGGAGGGAGGGAGGGGTAAGAGGGAGATGATTTTGCTGGCAGAGACGTGGGGCAGAGTGGTTGCCACAGCAATTAACACAGAGTTTCTCCATACAAGTGCTGGGACAGTGGACTAGTTCGTAAGTGATTGGAATTTGTGGGATTCCGTCTTTTGTATGACAATTCCCAAATCTAATGTACAAAAATTGTTCCCACCTTGTCGCTCTTATCACACATGACAATTGAGGCTCAACTTACTAATATTTAATTAAGGGTCAACGTAATTCACACAATGCTCCAAATCTTGATTCAGCCACACATGGTGAGGCGAGGTAAGCAATACCGTCTACCAACCTCTTTCACAGGTGAAGATTCTATATAGGTGAAGGACGAATTGAAATGGAGAGGAGGACCCGCTACAGACGTCTGCCTCCCTCATTCCCGCCTCTCCAACCCTTCATATGCTGGAACTCAACGTGACTGCTATGCACAGTCTACGCAGATGTTCAGCCTCTAAGAGTCGTTTGTCCGCTGCGCGTTTGTTGCGGCAATGCGCTGCTATTTGCTCGCGACTCTACTCTAGTCAGCACTACTGAGTAGTACGGGGACGGGGAATCTGTGGTATGCTGTAGCTTAAGAGAGTGAGATGAGGGTGGGAGAGGCGCGGAGGTACGCCGAGAGGAGTAGAGGTATGATGGGTTGGTAGATGGGGTGTAGATTGTAAGGGATAGTGGGGGAGCAGAAGGATGAGGTTCATGTGTGGTCTCTACTGGCGGCATTACTCCGCGTTCTACTAGTCCGAGGAGCTGGTCCTGAGGGTCCATCTCCTGGTGAGATCTCGCAACTGCTATAGTTGTCGAGCTAATATCGTGGGACTTCTGCAGAGTGCGGTGACGAAGACGTACGGCATGACCGCTGCGGACAACAATGCGATCTCCGCTGCACTTGACGGTGTACTTGGAGACGTGCACGGATCTCTGAGATCTGCGAGAATGAGATCTGGAAGAAGGTCGTGCTGTGCTGAACGGAAACGGAGAAGAGCTCTGGACGACGGAGAATACTGCAGTAGCCTGCAGGGAACTGGGATATCCTGCTCCAGGTATAGTCTCTAGTGGTCACTAGGAAATCAACAATCTATTATGGCTTTCTTAGGCGAGTCGGGAGCTTTATGACATTCAAAGCACAGAGTCAAGTAGGAGACTCTCATACATTCCTCAATGTATGGGAGCGAGGAGAGAGATGGAGGACTGTTCTACTCTAAATCATGCTGGTAACTGTGATGCTCCACTACTTATCAGCTGTTGGAACAGCTATCAGATACTTCTGTCATAATATTGATGACTAGCACACTAGTATCTTCAGTGAAACTACTGGTATCCCCAGCTTCTACACAAACATTAACTCCGTATTATTCAGTCAAACAATCCTCCTCTATAATGTACTATGTTCTGGAGACTAAGCCACCATCAGAACTACCGTCCTCCAGCCCTCTCCCCACATCACCCACTGGAGCCAGTACCAGTGGTGAGAGATGTTGGCTGATGTTTGTGTATGGTGTACTGGTAGGAGCAGTAGTGGGAGCTGGAATAACAGGATCTCTGAATCTCTGCTATCTGATTCTTAGAAAGAGAAACATCCAGTCAAATGAAAAACTTTCAGGTGAGGTTTTCAAACAACATATCTACTCAGGAGAACTTGTTTTTCGCTGCATGGAATAGTAGAGCATTTGCATTTCCGTGTGAATGGACCATTGCACATACATGTAGATCAGTTCTTTATATATATATTTTTATACACAGTTATATTTATGTTTTTTCCTACTGCCTATGTATAGTGGCTGTCATTGTGATTGTTTGTCATTCGGTCTGGACACTGGGTGTGTGGGGAGAGTTGGCATGCCATAAAAGGCTCTTTGACACACCGCCCCAGTTCTCAAGGCTGGGCACCTGGTGTCCTGCCGGTTGTGTGCAACTGTGTGGTTTGTGTCTGTGTGTGGGTGGAGGATGGGGGTTGGAGGGTGACTTCTGGTTTTCTTTCTTTCTTTTCTATTCTCTGTGGCTAGTATGCTATAAATATACTTTTCATGTTTGAGAGTGAAGTAGCAACATAATTATAATTGTATTATGTGGCCCGTCATTCAGTGGTACATATATACCCGACCTGGTGCAGGTGAAGGAGATGAAATGGAGAGCAACCCAGCCTACCAGACCTCTGCCTCCCTCATTCCCTCCTCCTCCAACCCTTCATATGCTGGACTCAACGTGACTGCTAATACACACCTCTACGAAGATGTTTCCGCCCTCTAAAGTCATTTTGTGCGCATGCGCGTTTTGTTGCGGCAATCGATCCCGCGCGGACGTTATCGCGTGCTGGCCGGCCAGATCGCGGGACATAGCAACGTATACGTGTAGTTTTTGTGGACTCGTTGCTATGGGGTTTTCTACCAATCCTGACGTTACACACACAGCGCTCAATGGTTGCAAAGAACATGAACACTAACTATACATCACCATGGCAGCTTCGCGCAGCCAGCTGCCAAAATTGTTACAACTTTGTTGCAACCCGCGCCATGGGTACCCCGGAAAACCCGCTCAGTGCCAGCTTCACATAGTTTTTATCAACGCAAAGCCATATGCAGTAAGTGCACAACAAACTAAACATTCTTTGTCAGCTCGCAGCAAGCCCAGAGAGGTGGGGCCGGGTATATACCTAGTGCACGCGAGACTTCCAACGGCACTCTACACACACGCACTCATCAATGTCCCGCAATAGCCATAAATATCATTTGGAACAGCTACAAAAGCACTGCAGAGTTTGTGCTTCCAACTTCAATGCCAATTCAAAAGCCTACAGATATCCATGCTCCTCCATAAAACCAGAGCAGTGGGCAGCAGTTGGCATTGACCAGCACTCTGACACCCAGACATTCACCCACCAACAGTGTGCCTCAGTTGACAGGAGAAAATGACAAGAATGGCTAATGGTGCAACAACACATCTTAGTGAAGCCTACAACTGGCGGGCACATGACGACAATGGCTGCGGCACATGCGTCATGTTTTGGAGCCAATCGGTAGGAGGTCGGCCAAAAAAGAACAGGGGTAGGCCAAGGAAATCCACAGAAGGGTTGACCAGACTCAAGAAGTCCACGACGCCATCCTGGGATGCTCTCCAACCAGCTCTCTTTCTCTCTCCGCCTAGTACACGTCCCCAGCTAGAGGACCTGCAGTGCTGCATGTGTCACTGCATTGTCGACAGGCCAGTAGAGACAGGTTGCAGAAAATTGGCATGCCTTTAACTGCGTCGTTGACAAGCAAGTTTGCCCTCATTGCAGCACTCACGATGCACAGATCGACTCCCATCTATCACCAGTATCAGACGTCATCCTGAAGGTTGTGGGCGCACTCCTCCTCCGCTGTCCAGCCTGCAGTGGAATCGTTCAGTTACACGAGCTGAAGAATCACAGTGAGAGTAACTGTGCTTCCTATACTGTCCAACCACCATCGGTCCAGCTGGACGACGGAGAACAACAATTGCTTCCAATCCACAGACGCGCGTGGTCCCACCACCCATACCGCTCGTCTAAAAAATGTTTAGAAGGCAAAAGCACGACCAAACTCTTCTACAGGGCCTACACAATACTATTAGTCGCTCTTTTAGGCGTTAAAAACTGTGTGACAGACGCTGCCACTTACTTCTTTCTCCTGTTTCACCCCTGCCGCTCTCGCCAAACCATCCCTTCGACCGGGAAGGAAGACGCACCGTTCGCAAGAGCTACAAACAAGCTCCCTCGTGGCGGAGGTTAAAAGTTCACAATAACAATTAGCTAGCCGTTTCCCCGGGGCAAAAAGAACTGGCCCGTTGCCACGCACGCGTTGTTAAGGATTACGTAATTTTTATGTGACGCAGCTAAATGAGCACGCGCGAGAGTAGGACGCGGAACAGCCGTGGCAATGCGCATGCTTGAGCTACTGCGCTACACACGTAGATAGTGGTTGCAGAGCAGCTAGGATGTCGTGGTCTCTACTGGCGGTATTACTCTGTGTTCTACTAGTCCGAGGAGCTGGTCCTGAGGATCCATCTCCTGGTGAGAGCTCGCAACAGCCATAGTTGTGGAGCTATATAATGTCGTGGGTCTTCTGCAGAGTGCAGTGACGAAGACGTACGGCTATTGCCTGCTGGAGACAACAATAATATCTTGGATGCACTTTACGGTGTACTTGGTGACGTGCACGGAACTTTCGAGATCTGCGAGAATGAGCTCTGGAAGAAGGTCGCGCTTGTGCCAGAATGAGAGAGAAGGAGAGCAATGGACGATGGAGAACACTGCAGTAGTCTGCAGGGAACTGGGATATCCTGCTCCAGGTTTGGTCTCAGTCTCTCTGGTAGTGGTAGCTAGGAAGTTGGCAACTGGATAAGATGAATCTCTTTGTATAGGTGAATCTGGAGCTATTGATTTTCAGATTGTAAGCAAGAGACTGTCAATGTCTTAGACCGCAGTCACGCGCAATTGACCAATCAGATTACAGAATTGCGGGGGGTTTATTTTTCATAGACACCTCGTTTCAGGTGTCTAACCGCGTCTAACCTATATTTAGTGCATAGCTGATTCGAATCGACCAATCAGATTTGTTAGTACGAGGTTCCTGATTTCTCATATGAACCTCGTGAGCTAACAAAAGTAACATGAAAACATGATATGAAACCTTGTTTTTTCTGTTGATTTTCAACAAGTTCAACAGCATTTCATGTAAGAAATGTATCCCGCAAAACATGATCTGTACAAAATGTTGATCAAAATAACTGATATCTTGATTTTCTTTTTCCACGAGACAGTTTTCTGTGTCTGCTTTGAGCCCATCTCCCTCCTTTCCATGTATAATACATAGTAGATAGCCAGGCAGCTCACGCCCGCCACAAACCACCGCACGCAAATAAAGGGGGTGGGGCTCCGCGAGCGAGTGCGCGCGACAAAGCTACTAAGTCGACGGCGAACGCCTTCGGTATAGCAGCCCGCACAGCGCCTGAATTCGCCTCTCTCTGATTGCGATGGTTCGCGCAGGTCTCCTGTCGCGTTTCTTCGGATGAGTGGCGGAGGACAGTCCCGCAGCGGGAGTAGCTAGAGCGACGGAGCAGCGTGTCCTGGCCTAGCGTTCGGCGTTCAATAGTCCCGCACGAGGTGACGGTCTTGCGCTCTCGTCTCTTTCTCGCATCTTTCAAATTCCCTGTGCTTGGAAACGCAGTGCGCGTATACGGAGCTGATTTGCTCTGCACTAAACATGTTATGTACTACGTCTTGTTTTTGTTGTTGTTGTATTTGGTCTATTTGTTTGTTTGTTCTTTGTTTTTGCTTTTTTTTTGCTTGTCTATTGTATCGTTTACTTCTCAAAAAGAATTTTGAAAATGAACCCTCGGGCCATCCGCGTAGTGCCCTCGCTGCGCACGGGACACTACAAACGCGGAGGCCCTCGGGTTCATTGAAATCCGGTATGTCCCTCGCACGTAGTACATAACATATATATATGTACCTCAATGTATGGGGAGTGAGGAAAGACTGAGAGACTGCACTACTGTAGATCAAGATGACAGTTGTGATGTTCCGGTAGTTATCAGCTGTCTGAACAGCTCTGAAATCACAACTGTAACTCCTGTGACATTACTGACTAGCACATCTTCGCTAGTATCCTCTGCTCTTATACCAACATCAACATTGTCAAACAATCCTCCTCTATAATTTACTATGATCTGGAGACTAAGCCACCATCAGCACTACCATCTTCCAGCCCTCTCCCCACACCACCCACTGGAGCCAGTACCAGTGGTGAGAGATGTTGGCTGATGTTTGTGTATGGTGTACTGGTTGGAGCAGTAGTGGGAGCTGGGATAACAGGAGCTCTGGCTCTCTGCTATCTGATTCTCAGAAAGAGAAACATCCAGTCAAATGAAACACTTTCAGGTGAGGTTTTCAAACAAACATAGTCAGCAAAACCTGTTTGTTGTTGCATGAAATAGTAGGAAATCAGCTTGCAATTCTTGTTGTATTAGCTGGTACCCAACCTGAAGATTATATAGGTGAAGGAGATGAAATGGAGAGGAACCCAGCCTACCAGACGTCTGCCTCCCTCATTCCCTCCTCCTCCTCCAACCCTTCATATGCTGGACTGAACATAACTGCTAATGTCTACGAAGATGTGCCCGCCCGGCCCGGCGCCCCGGCCCTCTCTCTAGCTAGCTCTCTAAAGCCATTTTGTGCGCATGCGCATTTTGTTGTGGCAATGCGCATGCGCGCTTGCTCGGACTCTATAATAGTTCAGCACTACATACTGCGTAGATAGTGGTTGCAGAGCAGAAGGATGAGGTCTCGTGTTGTGTGGTCTCTACTGGCGACATTACTCCGTGTTCTACTAGTCCGAGGAGCTGGTCCTGATCCATCTCCTGGTGAGACCTCGCAGCTCTAGCTAGCTAGCTAGCTAGTAAGCTAGTAGCTATTGCATAATATATACAGACTGCAGTGACAGAGACGTACGGCTATTGACCAACGTCAATGATATCTCGAATAAGATATCGCCAGCATTGACGGTGTGTTCGGCGACGTTTATGGAAGTCTCGAGATTTGCGAGAATGCCGTCTGGAAGAAGGTCGTGTTGTGCCTGAACGAGGGAGACGGCGGAACAGAGCTCTGGACAATGGAGAATACTGCAGTAGCTTGCAGGGAACTAAGGTGGATGGCTCCAGGTATGGTCTCAGACTGACTGGTAGTAGTCGGCAACTAGATCTCTTTGTCATAATAGGTGAATCTGGAGCTATTGGTCATACAGAGTCAAGTAGGAAACTCTCATACATTCCTCAATGTATGGGGAGCGAGGAGAAACTGGAGGACTGCTCTACTCTAAATCACACTGGTAACTGTGATGCTCCGCTAGTTATCAGCTGTTCGAACAGCTCAACTAGTCAACCATCTCCCTCTCTCACAATTTCTTCTGCAACTTCATTCACCTCTTCAGTCAGCAAACCAGCAGCCACCTCCCCAGTCTCCTTAATGGAGTCATCAACCACTGCAGTCTCTGCCACAGAACTGCAGCAGCCCAGTCTGACAACTGGGTCCTGCCTCCACTCCAGACACTGACTCTCCATCCACTGACAATGGTACCACTGACAATGGTACCACTGCACCACAAGCCCTCATCTATCTGGCGACTGCAGTGGGGACTGTGGTGGCTCTTCTGCTAGTATTAATAGCTGGAGTTCTCCTCTACCTCGCCTGCCACAGGAGGGAGAAAGTGAGGCCCCAGAACGAGCCGTATGAGGTCCCAGTCGCCACAGCCGCGAGGAACCAGACCTTCCAGGAGGTGCCAGAGACAGAGGTTCTCTACGACAGAGCCACCACCTCAATCCAGAGGGAAGACAGCCAGGAGTACCACACTCTTAATCACTCTCTCTCCCCCAGCAAACCATCTCCACCTCTCAGTAGTCACTCAACCGGCAGCTCCACTGGTCCTCCTCCAGTATATGACACTGTGGCCCCTCCAGCCTCGTCTCAGACCAATCCAGCCAGGGATCCCCCCACTCAGAAACCTCCGGTCTACTACCACGTACTGCAGAGCCCCACAGAGAGGCAGAGGAGCCAGCAGGCCACCGCTACCACATCCTAGAGCAGCAGGAGAGTGGAGGGGTCAACCCCAGTGGAGGTCCAGCAATGTACAGTGAGGTGGGGCAGAGACGAGCTGCCACTCTGCAGCCACACCGACAGGCACCCCCCTCCTCCTCCTCCTCCTCAAACCTCACCATCTCCCTGCCCAGAAACATCTCGGGATCAACTACACTGCTGTAGGCCCCACTACGTCTCTTTAGTCTGACATCTGGCAGAACAGGCATCAAATTTCGTGTATGCATTTACGTTGGCCGTGTGTTACCTGTGCATTAGCGTGTGTATGTCGTGCACTAATGTAGATGTGTGTGTGTGTGTGTGTGTGTGGCAATCAAGGGCTGTGTGCTGCATTTCTCAGATTTCATGGATCATCCCCCTTCACTGTTGTACTCCGAACTGAGTAAATGAAAAGCCACTCAGAGTAACGAAAAAGGAAATACGTAATTGTCGAAAGAATGTCGCCACGTCCAATGAAGTGTGTCTGGCGGGTACCATAATGTATTTAGCGACCATCATGACGTTTCAGCGTAATGGGGACCTACTCTGTTACGATAAAACAGCTCGTCAGTATTGGTGACACATAGACCAGTTAATATAGTATAATAGAATGTAGCTATAATTATGCAACTGTTAGTAATGTGGAGAAACCAGTTCATCCAAAATAAGCAGTCACAGTTTTAAGTCTGGAGTTGAGAAAGTGCTGCTCCACTTCAACATGTTCGTCTAGTCCGCCAGATTGACAACCTGCACAGTCCATGTGTCAGTAAACATCATCTCACTTTCAATACCCATTCTCTGCCATCGCAGCCAGCATACATGGGGGACCAGCCGTAATAATAGATTGCACATTTGGCCAAAAACGTCAACCGTTTAAACCGTCTTAAGGCAAACACCCGTGAAAAAACAGTTTCAACCACACACACACGCACCACACACCACGTAGCATGCAGGGTTTGTCAGTGCCTGCTGGCCAGCCAGCACCCTGAACAGCTGACCTGGTCTAGGT